TAGCTGAACATAAACATCTGTAGCCAACAGGCTACTTGTTCACAAGATTAAGGTGCTGTATTATTAACTAGTCATCTTTTAGCTAACATTATCCATATCCAACAACATTACTCAACTCAGTCGATTAGTTTTGGCAAAAACAGTGAAAAGTTATTTGCATTTTGCTGCCATGATTCTAACACACAGCAGCAGGTCTCCGTCGCTGAGCACAGGTGTAAACCCAGCGCTAGCGTCTCAGCGTTCATGTTGCGTTTGAGGCGGCTCGGAAAAACAGGTTACGACGTTAACAACGGATTAAACAGTTTTAACTGGTGAAAAAAGCGACAGAACACATAGATATGGGAAGCGAGGAAGCCCCTACTGTATCAAATTGATATAGGAATAACAGAGTGCTGGCCAGTTTAAGGTAAAAACAACAAACAACTTCCAGTCCACTCTGTGGGTCTGGGCCCAGTGAGTGAAGAGGAGTTTAAAGTTAAAATGTGTCTCTGGCTGATTGGATCATTCAGAGAAAACAGACTTTCTAGAGTTCAAGGTTTTCTATTCATTTAAACATGAAAACTGATAAAACATTTCCATGTTGGAAATGTCTAAAAATATGTTTGAATGGCTGAAACAGTCCAAAGGATGAAGGAAGTAGTTAAAAACCAAAAACATCCAGAAGCAAACTGAAGAAAGAAGAAGAAACAGGAGGACAATAGTGCTGAATCAGCATTCACATGATGAAAACATCTGGACTCACCGAGCCTTTCTGCAGTTCTTCACAGCTGGAACCAGTCTATGTCGTCCCCATTGTGATGTGTTGTACTTCTCCAGGTCCAACTCATCCAGAACCTCCTCTGACATCTGCAGCATGAAGGCCAGAGCTGAACAGTCAGTCACTGAGAGCTCCTTCCTTGAATCCAGCAGCCGTTGGATCTCCTGAGTAAATGAGACGTCGTTCATCTCCACCAGACAGTAGAAGATGTTGATGCTTCTATCAGGAGAGATTCTATCAGTGTTCATGTTCTTCAGGTTGGTGATGATTCTCTGGATGGTTTCTGGACGGTTCTCTGTCTGACCCAGCAGATCTTCTAAGAGTCTCTGGTTGGACTCCACAGTGAGACCATGAAGGAAGCGGACAAACAGGTCCAGGTGGCCATTTTTACTGCTGAGGGATTTCTCCATGACCTTCTTCATGAACTCATCGAAAGATGTTTCTCTGTATTTTTCCCTCCAGGGCCATTTGAACCATGTGAACGTAGGGGTGTCATGTTCTCCCAGGAACGTCTTGATGACCTCTGACCTCCTGCTGGTGAAGCAGTGGAGCATGTAGACGGCAGCCAGAAACTCCTGGATGCTCAGATGAACAAAGGAGTAGACGGAGATGTTGCCCATGCCTCTTTCCTTTTTAAACATCTCAGTGAAAACTCCTGAGTACAACGCAGCATCTTTGATGTCGATGCCACACTGTTTGAGGTCTTTGTCATAGAAGATCAGGTTTCCCTTCAGCAGCTGATCAAAAGCCAGACTACCTAGAGACTCAATCAGCTTCCTGTTCTCTGGACTCCAGATTGATTTTGTCTTTGATCCTCCATCATACTTTTTCTCCTTAATTTTGGTCTGAACCAACAAGAACTTGATGTACATCTCAGTCAGGGTCTTGGGCAGCTCTCCTTCCTCTCTGGTCTTCATCACATCCTCCAGAACTTTAGCAGTGATCCAGCAGAAAACTGGGATGTGACACATGATGTGGAGACTTTTTGATTTCTGGATGTGGGAGATGATGCTGCTTGCCTTATCATCATCATTTATGAATCTCTTCCTGAAGTACTCCTCCTTCTGGGGGTCAGTGAACCCTCTGACTTCTGTTACCATGTTAACGCACTCAGCAGGGATCTGATTGGCTGCTGCAGGTCGTGTGGTTATCCAGAGGTGAGCAGAGGGAAGCAGTTTCCTCCTGATGAGGTTTGTCAGCAAAATATCTAGTGAGGTGGACTTATTAATGTCAGTCAGGATCTGATTGTTGTTGAAGTCCAGAGGAAGTCGACTTTCATCCAGACCATCAAAGATGAACAGAACCTGGAACTGTTCAAAGTTGCTGATTCCTCTGGTTTTAGTGAAGTGGTCATGAATGAGTCCCACCAAGCTGGTTTCTTCTTTCAACATATTCAGCTCTCTGAAAGTGAATGGAAATATGAACTGGATGTTCTGGTTGGTTCTGCCTTCAGCCCAGTCCAGAGTGAACTTCTGTGTTAACAGTGTTTTCCCAATGCCAGCCACTCCCATGGTCATCACTGTTCTGATCGGTTGATCTCTTCCAGGTTTGAAGATTTCTTCTCTTCTGATTGTTTCTTGTTTATTGGATGTTGTTTCAATGCGTCTAACTTCATGTTCCTGGTTGACCTCTGTAGTTAACCCCTCTGTGATGTGGAGCTCTGTGTAGATCTGGTTCAGATCGGTTTGATTTCCATGTTCAGCGACACCTTCAGAGAGACTGTGGAACTTCATCTTCAGATGCTCTTTGAGGTCATGCTGACATTGAATATCAATATCTAAAAAAAAGAAAAAAAAGAGAGAGAGAAACACAACATGATACACTTCAGCTAAACATAAGGAATACAATTTTTTTTATAATTTGTGTATCAATTTTAATGAAGGAAAAAATTTATATCAATAAAAAACTATTAAAAATAATTATTGTCATCTAAAGAAAAAAGTCATTCCAACTTCAGTGTTTGGGAAGAGAGAAAATTCATGATTAAATTTGAGATTTTCTGAAGAAAACAGTCTGGAGCTCACTGAGGTGATGGATAAAAGAAAAGGTAAATAAAAAAAAAGGTTTGTGCTGCACAGAGATGTTTAGAATCAGTTTTGCTCATTAAAACTATTTCATGGTTTTTCTCTGGTTGAAGGTTTAAGTTAATCAGACATGTTTCCCACAGAGCAACCTCTGACCTTTGAGACTCAAAGTTTTATTAGTGTTTAATTTGAAATTGCTTTCTTTTTGAGCACTGTCTGCAAGCTGGAAACAAAGAACTAAACTGGCCACTTTATTAGGCACACCATTCCACTTACTAGTTAATGGTTTTTGATAGAAAGGCAGCAATAGCTGAGATAAAATCTCGTTACAGCAAATCCATGGAACCATGAAGGGATCCAAGATTAGTTGTGACAATAGACTGAGAAACACTTATTTCAGATGTAAAACAAAACAACTATGAAAATAGTGTGGGCTGTTTCATTTTGATAAAGTTAAACAAAATACTGTCACTTGGAAGTCAGCATGTTGTTTGTGCTGCAATGCATTCTGGGTTGATACAACATAATATACTTTTTTGATCCCTAAAGGGAAATTGCTTATTAAATGCTCAACTACTCCACCAAAGGTGTTACATTTTAGTAAATACAAATATAACCAAAAGGAATACAAAATTTAGGAAAATATTATATACACAAATGTAATATTATAATTCAAATATGACCATCCATCCATCCATCCATCCATCCATCCTCTGTTCACCCTTGTCCCTTAGTGGGGTCGGGAGGTGCTGGTGCCTTTCCAGCTAACGTTTCGGGCGAGAGGCGGGGTCACCCTGGACAGATCACCAGTCTATCAATTATGACCTAAATATTAAATAAATAAATAAAGCAGGCAGGTGGAAATGTGTTAACATATGAATAAATATATAATGAGTCCAGAATGAACTTAAATTTAAAGACACTCTGAGTTGGGCATTGTATAATCTTATGGCTACATGCAGGAATGATTTCCTGTGGTTCATTTTTGTGCAATGAGTCTCTGCCTAAAGGTGCTTTTGTAACCGACCATCACATCATGAAGTTGATGAGACTCGTTATCCAGAATGAACTTTGACAGGACCGTTCTCTCTGTCAGAATCCAGCTACACTCCAACAACATCACTGGTCTTGGTGTCCTCCACCTTCAGCCTGAAGGTGGAGGACACAGCGTACAGGATGGCACTAAACGGGGAAATAAATGAAGGGGACACTGTTCACAGTGTTCAGGATGGCACTGCAACCACAGACTCAGAACATCCTGAGGAAAGTCCAGCAGATGTTGAACGACATCTGAATACACCAGTCTGCAGGGAAAGCCTCCAACTCAAACATGTCTGGGCAATGCCATTGATCATTCTTCTGTCTGCTTGCCCGAACTTACACTTCCTCTTAATTTTTATTGCCTTTGATTCTATAAAATGAATAGCAACTATTTTATTCTTAAAAAATGAAAGAGCACTGTCCTTCTGTTCTTCAGGAAACTTACAGCAGATGAAACATTTTGGTCAAACCAGTGGAGGGACAAAATATAGCTTAGTGATGGGATTGCTATATATATTTTTTCTGATTAACATTTTATTAAATTTTTATTACAACACAGTCCATTCTCTGTACAAGCGATATCCACCAGCAATTACATCAGCATAGTAACCGAGCAATGGCGAACCAACACTAAATAGTAGGCAACATTAGAAAAAGGAAGGAAATTAAGAACATTAAATAAATAAATGGGGGCAACCCTGTTCATATAAAAAGTAAATTAAGTAGCACAGGTTGGTCAGCTTTTATTTATGTGGGGCATTCTACATAGCCCACTCATCACGGTCAAATCAAACCCCACTGGGGCCTCATGCCCCCACCACCACGACCTTTAATTGGGCCCCGGCAGTCTGAATAAGTATGGGTCCCAATTAAGGTGGAAGAGCTCCATTTTATTTAGTAATCTGTATGAAAGTTGCTCTAGTGCAGCTAATCTGTCAAGTCGATTAAGCCATAAAGTAATAGTGGGATAGAGGTGGCCTTCCACCCAGAGACAATCAGTTTACGCCCCAACATTAATGCAGTCTGGACCCATTCTGCAGTGTTAGATGGCAAATGTTTAAGGGGAGAAAACCGAATATCTTATTGTATAATTGATTTAACATATTTGTAAATCACATATCAGAAATCTTGAGTTTCAGGGCAATTTCATATGGATCAGTGGGCCTGTCTCAGTCTGGCATTTAGGTGACTGTATAAGACTTTCTCTATGTAATCTATGTGGTGACCAATATGTTCTATGAAGTAATTGTACTTATCTTTTTTCATATTCCCTAGACATTTGTTTAATACTATAAAGTATCATTTTCTATTCCTGATATGTGAAAGTCGAACCAACATCAACTTCCCAGGGTGATAGTAAAGCAGGGAGCCCTTTGCCTATATCCTTTACCAAAATGGAGTAATATTTAGACACTACATGGTATAACTCTGAGATTTTCCTAAAATGGGAAACATAATCTACAGTTGCAGTGGGTGTAGATGGAGATCCATAAATTTCATGTAGTAAGTGGCAAAGTTTAGGTACCTCCAGAATTGATTTTCTGGGAGCTGAAATTTTATTTTTACTTAAGGATCCCCCCCTTCATATGGATCTCCAAGAATCAAAATTCCTCTTCGGACCTAGAGTTTCCTGAGAATCAGGGATTTACTAACATAACGTTTGGGATTAAGCCATATAGAGGCTTCAGTATATGGGTTAAAGTTCAGCATTGTCATTTTGCATCAAAAAATCTCTGTCAATTTTTACAATAATAATGGCAGATTCAGTTGCATTTAATTTTCATTCGGTTTAATTAATATTCAACAGGCTGAACTGAGAATCCATCATGTCATCAAACATCAAGCAGATTAATATATTTAACTTTTTCTCTGTGGTGACAAATTTTGAAGTCAGGAAATATTTGGAGAATATTTATCATTTAGAGTTTCATCAAAGACAATAGAGGACCCATTCTACAGAAGTAGCTTGAATGAACTGCGTGTCTCACCTTTAGCAGAGGAGTCAGAGGACAAACCCAGCTGGTTGGACAGAGTCGGATCTATGTGATGAAGACGTTTGATCATCATTTCACTGGCTGTCTGTCCTTTCATCCTCACAGCATCGATGGTATCCCGGGCCTTGTTCGCTGTGCTTTGATTCTCTTCAAGTTTTGCCCGTTTCTCCAAAAGATTAAAGACACCATCTGTTTCAAGGCCATCGAGGAGCTGAATCAAGTTTTCCTCAGAAACTCTCTTCACAAACTCAGGGCGAACCTTGAAAAGTTTTTTTTCTGCAGGCAGAAATCAGAAACAGGATTCATTCAAATTGACGTCAGAGAAAAACGTGATGAAGATCAACTATTCATGTTGCTCCATCCAGAGATTCAGAGTCTGTTGATCAGCTCCTCAGGTCTAAACCTGCTGTTGTGTTTCTGCCTCATATCTGAGTGACGACCACTGATTCTGTCTACATGAGACCAAATGAAGCTTCTGGTTCATCACTTTCTTTCCTCACTGCAGGAAGAACAATAAAAGAAACACCTTCTAAATATAGAGCTGCACTATTTTAGAAAAACAGGAAACTTTGATGTTATTGGCGAATATTATGATGAAATTCATCACTTCTCTTTCTTTACCATCATCATCAGCTCTGCATCTCCGTCTCTAAGCTTTAGCATCTCTGACACCAAGTGTTGGAATAAAAGACACAGCAAATCTTTCCATCTAAGATAATAAATTAGTAATAAATGATGTGATTACTGGATAAATGAATTAGTGTATATAGCAAATATTCCTGAAGTATCAGAGCTGCTGGCCTGTTCTTCACTTCGGTTCCTTTTAGTTTCCATCTGAGTTCAGTTTTTACCTTCAGGTTTCACAGAAACTCACAATGTTTCCACCAGAGCTTCACTGAACAAGAAGCGTGAAAACAATAAAGAAACACTGAGGCTGAGCTTCATCACATGGCAGCAACACGGGCTGTGATTGGTCAGTTTGTTCCTTTAAGATTCTTCATTTCTGCTTCTGATCACTTACCTAAATCCACTTCCTGCTGCTGTGCCATCATTTACCTGGAAAACATGAAGGATTCATTATGTTTCAGAGTTTATTTCATAAATAATTTACTTTGCTCTTATGAAGTTAGAAGGGTAACTAAAAATGCCAGATTGTTAAAATAAAATCAGTGATATAAACATTAATTTATCATATTTTACTCCATGAGGAACAATATTCCTGTTAATTTTCTGCACTGACTGTTAATCATTCTAGGATTTTATTTCCTTCAGGCTGAAATGAAAACATCTTTAAATCCTGCTTGTTGCTTCTGACTGTAATGTGTTGATGCTACCACTAGATGGCAGCATCAGCTGCAGAAAGCTCCTCCAGAAAGGAGTCTGGCTTCCTGCTCAGGTCTTTAGTTGTCAGGTGAGCAGATTAATCCCTGTTTCTCTGCATCATCATCATGATGAAGGTTCTCCTCTCCCTCAGCTGAAGTTTATCTGCTTTGGACAGAAAGTCCATTATTTCTGTCTCTGACCTCCAGAACCAGCTGGTTCTGATTTGACATTGTTGGGTCATTTACCCAGAATGCATTGCAGCATGAACATCAAAGCGACGTTCGTGTGACAATATTTTATTAAAATTGATAAAAACTAAATAACCTACAGTATTATTGCTGAGTAGTTTTTACATCCAACATAAATATTTCCCAAATAAAGTATATATTTTTTTATAACTGTTCCTGGATCCCTTTAAAGGAATTCAGTGTTTCAGTTGTTTTGCAGTTTTTAGAGAACCAGAACCAGAACCAGAAGACCTGAAAGGTCCAGACGGTTAATACAACAGCAGATCTGTAATGAATTGTGGTTCTAAGCCGTTCAGTGATTTATAGACTAACAGTATTTTAAAGTCTATTCTCTGAGCTACAGGGAGCCGGTGAAGGGAGTTTAGAACTGAAATTTTATTTCCTATTTTATGCAAAAAAAATAATAAAATAAAATAAATAAAATACTGTGGAGGTAAATTTGTGTAATATTATTCAAATTAAAACTAATCTCAATTGAAATATTTTTTTAATCAAAACTTTTGGAATTGTAATGATTTAATGGAAGATTTTATTTTTGAAAAAAATACAAATAAAATTTTTATTCAAATAAATTTTGTCTCATGAAGAGAAAAATGCATAAAAGTATAAACTTTTATTTGTCAGAAGTCTTTGGTTGTGATTCTCCAACTTCTGATGCTACTTTTTTTGGTTGAACTCAGAGTTTTTATTGCTGGAAACATGAACATCTTGGGCCTAAAGACGAGCGATGTAAGACGTGTCCCTATTGGTCAGCGCTCCACTCCCTCCACCCTCAGAACCAGAACCGTTCCCTGAACTGCTGCTCAAACAAGCATTTACATTTGGAGCTCTACGTTTTATTTTTATTTTTCTCCAGTTTGGAGTTTTTCTTTAAAATGTATTATTTTTATTTTTTGTGAGGTGACCTTATGTGCCCTGAAAGCACATTTTAAGTAAAATGTATAATTATTACCCGAACACAGGTATGCTTGGGTATTTTTTGTGCGTTTTTATGAGGTAAAGCAATTTGAACTGCCTTGTTGCTGAAATATGCTATACAAGTAAACTTGACTGATTGATATTTTTATTATTATTATAAATACTTATACTACTACAAGTAAGGAGCGTTGCCATGGTTAATGCTTCACGTGGCGGCAGCCTTCCGGGTATTTATACTAAATTAAATATGTATTTATGAGTGGTGACAGGGCGAACCAGCAGCTGCGCTCTATTTCCAAAAAATTGGGATTTATAGGTGCACAGGCATGCACGTGCACAAGGCTTTATACATCTGAATTTTTTGTGCGTTACATTTTTCTATAATTGTCCGTACTCCAATTTTTAGTGTGAAAGCTGAACACTCTTTTATACACGTGGCCCCAGATCATGGAGAAGAATCAGTGAGAACTTCTCTTTTTAACATCAGTCTGACCATCAGCATCACCTGAGGAGCAGACCAGCAGTTGTTACCCTGGTAACACAGCAGAGAGACAGCATCACCTGCTAACAGTAGCATGACCTCACAGCAGAACCTCAGAGGACACTAATGGCGCTTTTCCACTAACCCGCCTCTGACTGGTTCTGTCCCGGTCCGTCAGGAGCAGCGGCACAAACACACAGTAACATTTGCAGCACAATGGCCGTGAATTAGCAGCACTGCTAGCAGCTGGCCGCTCTAAATATGGACAGTCATAAAGAAAGAAACGGTTCAGCTGTGGTCAGCTTTCTGACGGAGCTGATTGTGTGAAACACTGGAGCTGCATATTATTAACATGTGATGTGAATATTATTTTTCATTTGGATTTAAAACAATACTAATAATAAAGTTTATGGGGGTGATTTCATCCATCAATTCCCCCCAAAAAGAACCTTTTGGATGTTGAATTTACTAAAGCAGCATCACAAATAAAAAAGGTTGAACTTAGTTCATAATATTATAATCAGTTTATGTTTTATTTTAGCTTGATCATCTGAAACATTTAAGAATTATAAAAAACAAAGTCTGAGATCTAACCGCCTCTTGATCTCAGACGTAAAGAACTACAAACATGTCTGCTCATTTCTGACTCCGTTAAAGCAAAAAGTTTAATGGTTCAGTTGGAATCAAAACCTCCACAGTAACCTTTGTTATAACAGAGATCAGAGTAACTTTGTTCATCAAAGAACCAGAAACAATTATCAACACATTTATTGCTGCTGACACCAAACGATGTAAACAGGAAGTTACTCTGGAACAAAAATCTGTCAGAGAATCAAACAGTTCTGACTCTTTTCTCTTCATAGAGAGAAAAACTCACTGAGCTGCAGTGAAGTTTCAGTAAAATGTGATTTTACCTTCAACTCTGAGAGACTTGATTTAATTCACTCGTTCGTCAGGGCTTCTCTTCTCTTCCTGCTACCTGGTGAAGCATGAAACTCAAGAGTTTCTTCCTTCTTCATTTACAGGAAGTCATCTGGGTGTCTCTGAGAATCTCACTGCAGCTAACAGAAAGTAACATTTGTTGGTTTACGAACAACAAATGAAAGAAGTGGCAAAAGTTATAGGTTGAAGAAAGGAACGGATGGTCGTTTTATAAAATCTAAAAGAAAACTGGAGAAAGAACAGAAACAGGAGAGAAAAGATAATTATTTCATGACTGCTTTGAAGAGCTCATTATTTTTGATAGGGAAACATCAGTGATTGTGGGGAAGATGAGACAATAGAGCATCTTATTTTACATTGCAGGAATTAATGGATTCACAAAAACAAGTTAATAATGAACCTTAGTAATATAAAAATTTAATTTGACATTGTTGATTTATTTCTGAAAGATTCAAGAAGCAGAGGATATCAGGCTATATTTGATTTTTTAAAACAATTTTTCAAAAACTTGGGACATAGTTTTTATTTTTTTTAAGTCATGTGGTGCACACTACTGACCAGTTGGTGGCAGTAATGTTTACCTTACGTTTTTTGCCAACCGCAAATAAAACCTAAAAAGAAGAAGAATATCGTCCACGGTTTCAAGTTTTTTTCTTTTTAAATCTTTTTGTATTCCAGTCATGATTAGAATAATATTGAAACATAATATATTTGTAAACATAGTAGTTTGTTGGTTTTACTTTATTAATCTTTAATTATTATAATTAAAGCTGTAGATAACTTTGCTCCACTTTTGAGAAGAATCACAGCAATTCTAGTAAAAGTCGGTCTGTGGTGCAGCTCAGCTGAGACGAATGGGAAAATGTAAAAGTATTTACAATACTGCCAAAAGTATTTGCTCACCTGCTTTCACTCACATATGAGCTTTGGTGAGATCATCATTCCTGATCCATAGGGTTCAACATGACGTTGCTCCACCCTAGAACAGCTTCAGCTCCTCTGGGAAGGCTGTCCAAGGTTTATTAGTGCTTATTCTTCCAGAAGCGTATTTGTGAGGTCACACACTGATGTTGGACAAGAAGGCCTGGCTCTCATTCTTCACTCTAATTCATCCTAAGGTGTTCTATCCAGTTGAGGTCAGGACTCTGTGCAGGCCAGTCAGGTTCATCCACCAGACTCTCAATTTAGAGCAGTGCTTCTCAATTCCAGTCCTCAGGCCCCCCTGCTCTGCATGTTTTAGATCTGCCTCTACTCCAGCACAGCTGATTCAAATGATTGCATGNAAAAGCAGCTTTAATGAACTGTGTGTCTCACCTGGACCAGAGGAGTCAGAGGACAAACCCAGCTGGTTGGACAGAGTCGGATCTATGAGATGAAGACGTTTGATCATCAGTCTGCAGGCTCTGTGTCCTTTCTTCATCACAGCATCTATGGTGTTGCGGGCCTTGTCTGCTCTGATTGGGTTCTTCTGCAGTATTTCCTCTATCTCCATGTAATTAAAGACACGATCTGATAGAAGGTCATCAAGGAGCTGTTTCAGGATTTCCTCAGAAACTCTCTCCACAAACTTAACTCGAACATCTGAAAGTTTTTTGTCTGTAGGCAGAAACAGAAACAAGATTCATTCAAACTGATGTCTGAGAGAAAAACTTGATGAAGATCAACTATTCATGTTGCTCCATCCAGAGATTCAGAGTCTGTTGATCAGCTCCTCAGGTCTAAACCTGCTGTTGTGTTTCTGCCTCATATCTGAGTGACGACCACTGATTCTGTCTACATGAGACCAAATGAAGCTTCTGGTTCATCACTTTCTTTCCTCACTGCAGGAATAAAAGAAACGCCTTCTAAATATGGAGCTGCACTATTCTAGGAAAACAGGAAATTATATTATTGGTGAATATTGTGATGAAAATATTGAACGATCAATAAACATTTTCCTTTCTTTACCACCATCATCATCAGGTCTTCACCTCCATCTCTAAGCTTCAGCATCTTTGTCACCAAATGTTGGAACAAAAGACACAGGAAGTCTGACAAAATGTTAATAAATTATGTGATTAGTGGATAAATTGATTAGTATATGTAGTATCAGAAGCTGCTGGCCTGTTCTTCACTTCGGTTAATTTTAGTTCTGTTTCCATCTGAGTTCAGTTTTTACCTTCAGGTTTCACAGAAACTCACAATGTTTCCACCAGAGCTTCACTGAACAGGAAGCATGAAAACAATAAAGACACTGAGGCTGAGCTTCATCACATGGCAGCAACACAGGCTGTGATTGGTCAGTTTGTTTTTTTAAGATTCTTCATTTCTGCTTCTGATCACTTACCGAAATCCACTTCCTGCTGCTGCGCCATCTTTTACCTGGAAAACATGAAGATTCATTATGTTTGAGGCTTCATTTTATAAATCATTTACTTTGCTCTGATGAAGTTGGAATTTAAACTAAAAATACCAGATTAATACACACTCTGCAACAGAAAAGAATATTTATGTAAACTATGCCATAATAAAATAGTAACGCCATAATATAAAAATATTATGACTTCCAGTTTACATACATACTGATGTAAACTGACTGACTATAAAAGTGTATTGATCTGACCATTAATGTAACATATTTTACTTTATGAGGAACAATATTCCTGTAAAGGTTCTGCATCGACTGTCAGTCTTTCTAGGATCTGATTTCCTTCATTTAAAATGAAAACAAATTTAAATCCTGCTTGTTGCTTCTGACTGTAATGTGTAGCTGCTACCACTAGGTGGCAGCATCAGTGGCAGAAAGCTCCTCCAGAAAGGAGTCTGGCCTCCTGCTCAGGTGTTTAGTTCTCAGGTGAGTAGAGTAATCCCTGCTTCTCTCCATCATCATGACGAAGGTTCTCCAGAACTGAAGATCAGCTGAAGTTTTTCTGCTCTGGACAGAAAGTCCATGTTTCTGTCTCTGACCTCCAGAACCTGCTGCCCATGAAGCAGCTGGTTTAGCAGCTTTATGCTCCCTGATCTCTGCAGTGACATCATGGCTTCATACGGTCCAGAACCAGCTGGTTCTGATCAGACATTATTGGGTTTTAAAGGACAAAATGAAACAGAACTGAAG